CGGTGTTGTGGAGGAGGAGGGGGTGTACCTCCAAGGTGCTCCGATGCTTAAGTGAGTAACGGAGTTAGAGAGATCAAGTACATAGAAAAAGTTGTAGTGAATAAGATACATGACCCTCTAGTGAAAAAAGGTATTTATAATGTTCCCCCAGCGCAGGGCTAACGGTTACTTTACATTGGGTCAGATTGCAAGACCTAATACGAGTAACTGTCAGGGCTTACGTGGCGTAGGGAAGACTAGCATGTGATCTTCGCCCTGGGTCAACTGCCTCGTGATCTTCGGAAGGTGGGCTGACCAGTTCTTTTAGAAGCGGGTAATTTCCTGATGACGTGTCCCCGCGTGGGGGGCACGTGGACTATGTGGGGGAAGCACATGAGCTTCCCCGTCAAGACAATGTTATGCCCGATAAGGTGCCTTGTTAAGGTGCGTACTCGACAGAGGAGGATTAAGCCTTGTTAGGCCTCATTAGCGCAACATTGGGTTGGGCCTGTCCGGCTGAGGGGCAGGTTCTGGCTCAGTCCAGAATACTTACTTTGTGTTATCTTCCTCCTTTTTCTTTATGCCAAAGTAGTAGAAGTATACTCTTATAGGGAGTAGGGTATATTGTCTATATATGTGATAAGGATTTTAACCATTCTAATAATTTATCTATGCTTTTTTGTTTTTCCCACCTCCCCGAGAGATGTGTTGTTATCATAAAAAAAGGAGAGAATATGAAACTATTGCAGGTACAATTATTTATAGACAATTATGATAGTTTTGATGACAACACCTAATGTTAAACGAAATTCGATGGAGTCCCTAAGGATTTGTGGTTAAGTAATAACCTCTGATGATGGTGACTATCAAAGAATTTGTATCAAGTCTCATCTAATAGAAGAATTCAAGTTTTATATGAAGTTATGATTCAATGATGAATTTAGAAAGGGATCTTGAAGCTTTACGGTTGTGAAATAGAGGAAGTGTGAAAATTCACTTGGTCTTGTGATTGAGTGATCAGTGTATCGTAAAAGAATAAGATTAACTCCTAAGTTACTAAAACATCTCTCTCTCTCTCTCTCTCTCTCTCCACACACACACACACACACTCAAATGATTTTGAAGTCTCTCTCATTTTATAAAATCATTTGAAAATGTTTTATGCACATACCTAATTGATTACTAGCTTGGTTAAACCTTTAGAAGTGTTTTTTTATACTAGATAATTGATTAACATAATAGGGTTAAATGATTAACTCTTTTGTAACACCTACTAATTGTTTAAAGAAGATTTGAATCGATTAGTGACGATGAATTATAATACTTTCCATATTTGACATATCTAATCAATTAACCTTGAGTCATAATATATTAGATGCATTAAAAAGCCCATGAATTTTTTTTGCTACATTTTCTCCTATAAATAGAGGGGTTTTCGTCATTTCAAAACACATCAGAATTTATTTTGAATATCTTCTTTCTCATTTTCTATTCTTTTTCTATTATCTCACTAAAGTTTCTATAGTCCCTTATGAGTGAAAAATACTTACGAGAGTTTGATTGTACTAGTGTTCATGCTTAATTGTTCTTCATCAAGAATGTGATTCTCTTGTTTGATTTCTTTGATTCTTGAGATTTTTCTGATAGAATCTCGATTTGTTTCTTGAGATTATCTTAGTAAAAACTTTGTTTGCCTTTTGAGATTGTCTTGGTAAAATCTCTGATTGTCTCTTGATATTAGTCAATAAAATCTTCGTTTGGTTTGTGAGTTCAACCGTCAAAAGCTCCATTTAGTTTGAGGGATTAGTCTTTGTAAAATCTCTCATTTGTTGTAATAAGGTTTGTGGGCATATCTTTAAGAGCTCAAGACTTTTTATAAGTGGAACTCTCAAGAAGAAATTCTTTGAGACATGAGTATTCTAAGTGGTTAGATCGAACCTGTATAAATCCTATTATAATTTATCTATCTCTATCTCTTTATTTTTTATTATTTAGTTTTCCTTCTTTTCTATCTCACTCCTTTCTATTTTATGCTGTTTATTTTTATTGTTACATAAATTATTTTTTTAAATAATTATTTTTAATTATAAATTGTGAATATCATAATTCATCTCGCTCCTCTTATATTTAAAGTTATTTGATTAACAATATACTCCAAATAAAAAAGAAAACTCACGTGTGACACATTTTAATCTATAGAAGTATTGTTTTTACATAAAATTTAACTCTAAATATTTTAACACACATATCCATAACTTTTTTTTACAGAATTTTTATCCATAACTTTTTATGTCTTTTTCTTTTCTTTTTATACATTTTTTTAAATTCAATTGCTCAAACTTTAAATTATTGTATTTAACCTTCTTTAAAGAAGCTAAGAAATCTCTAGCCTAGGACCACTTTTTCCTTAATACATAATCACTTAAAATTGAGAGTTTTATCTCAATTGATTTCTTAATTAAAAAATATTCCATTGAATATATTTGTAAACAAATTTTATATTATCAAATATAAATTAAGTTCATAACTAAAACACACATTAACTAGAAGTCTTTAGATAGATAATTCATCCAAGTCTAAAAGTAAGCAAAATGATTCTCGTCGAGTACGACGAATGCGTAAGTGCTAGTATTTTTCTTTTGCATAGTCGACCCCCTTACCTGTTTCTCTTCTCTTTGGGTTTTATCGATATTTTCCCTATCTTTTGGGATTAAATAAAGTTTGGTGGTGACTCTGTTGTATCTTTGAGTGTGCAATTCACTAAGATATAATCCCGCTAGCCTCACCTACCAAATAAGCTTTATCAAATCTCATCAGATATAAGAATTCAAGTCCTATATGAAGTTATAATTCAATGATGAATCTAGAAAGGGATCTTGAAGCTTTATGGTTGTGAAATAGAGGAAGTGTGAAAGTTCGCTTGGTCTTGTGATTGAGTGACCAGTGTATTATAAAAGAATAAGATTAATTCTTAAGTTACTAAGATAACTCTCTCTCTCTCTCTCTCTCTCTGCACACACATAAATGATTTTGTAGCCTCTCTCATTTTATAAAATCATCTGAAAATGTTTTATCTACGTACCTAGTTGATTACTACATTGGTTAAACCTTTAGAAGTGTTTTTTAACTAGATAATTGATTAACATAATAGGGTTAATCACTAACTCTTTTGTAACACCTCCTAATAGTTTAAAGGAGATTTTAATCGATCAGTGACGAAGAATTAGAAAACTTTTTATATTTGACATATCTAATCGATTAATCTTGGATCATAATATATTTGATGCATTAAAAAGCCCATGGATATTTTTTGCTACATTTTCTCCTATAAATAAAGAGGTTCTCCTCATTTTAAAACACACCTGAATTCATTTTGAATATCCTCTTTCTCATTTTCTACTTTTTTTCTATTATTTCACTAAAGTTTCCTTAGTGTCTTATGAGTGAAAAATACTTGTGAGAGTTTGGTTGTAGTAGTGTTCATGTTTAATTGTTCTTCATCAAGAATGTGATTCTCTTATTTGATTTCTCTGGTTTTTGAGATTTTTCAGGTGAAATCTCAATTTGTTTCTTGAGATTACCTTAGTAAAAACTCTGTTTGATTTTTGATATTGTCTTGGTAAAATCTATGTTTGCCTCTTGAGATTAGTCAATAAAATCTCAATTTGGTTCGTGAGCTCAACCGTCAAAAGCTCCATTTGGCTTAGGAAATCAGTCTATGTAAAATCTGTCATCTGTTGTAATAAGGTAGATGACATCCTTAACAGCTCAAGACTTTTTTATAATTGGAACTCTCAAGAATTTTTTTTAAAGACATGAGTATGTCAAGTGGTAAAGCCGAACTTGTATAAATTAATGTGAAATTTCTCTTTCCTTATCTCTTTATTTTCTGTCATTTAGTATTCGTTCTTCTCTCCTCTCTTCTTTCTATTTTATACTACTTTATTTTTGTAGTTACGTAAATTATTTTTTAAAGTAAAAGATTTTTTATATTAATAACAAATTTTCAATATTACAATTCACCTCCCTTCTTTTATATTTAGAGTCATTTATTGAACAATATCTTTTAAAAAAAAAAGAAAAACTCAAACTCATCTATCACGCGGTTTTAATCTTTAGAACTAATATTTATCTATAAAATATGACATGTATGTAAATAATTTCTGGCACACATAAACAATCAATCAAGTTACTTTACATGTTTATCAAATTTTTGTCTTTTTCTTTTCTTTTTATACATTTTTTTAATTCAATAGCTCAAACTTTAAATTATTGTATTTAAAAAGTTAAAAAAAATCCCTAGCCTAAGACCACTTTTTCCTTAATACATAATCACTTAAAGAAAAACAAATCACTATTGAGAGTTTTATCTCAATTGATTTCTTAATTAAAAAAAATATATGATTAAATATACTTGTAAACAAATTTTATATTATCAAATAATACATTAAGTTCATAACTGAAACACACATTAACTAAAAAAAAAAGTACACATCTAAGAGACATGTCATGCTTATTAAAAAACACTAACCAATTAAACTATATTTTTTAATATAAACTAATGCAAATTGAAGTCAAACAACAAAACACCAGTACCAACGAAATCACAAATATCCATAGCAAAATCCACCACAACTTGATCAATTTAATCCAACCATATGAGAATATAAAATAAACACTAAACACTCTTTCTTAAAATAAAATTAACAAACTTCATTAAAAAGTACTTTTTTGTAAGTAACTGTTTATAAAAATGTGGCGGCAATTTTAACTTATGAGTTAAACAAATTTACACAAATCAGAATCTTATAACAGTTTAAACTATAGTTTAAAAGATTCACTCATTCACAAAATCCAACACATTTCTTTGTCTTCATTGTTTTGTGTCTATTATATCACTTATAGCTAAGTATAATCTAGCTGTCTATAAACTTTCTCTTACATTTCTTTTTTTCTGAATTTTTCTATTTCTATTTTCTTCTTCTTGCTTCAAAATCCACTCCTTTGAATTGCAACTTCTTATGGCTTCAAAAGCTTTGCTTCCACAACCACTTTCTCCATATATTTGCCATGATCCAAAGAGTGTTGTTTCTTCCAAAGGTTCTTCTTCTTCGTCTCAGTTCAGAAGGGTTGTAGGTTCGGTTTCAGAAAGGTCAAATCCCAAGTTTCGTGTTTCAGAAGATTCAACAATGGATGAACATGAAGGTTCCATTATTACATCGGTGATTGGTATTCTAAGTGGTTATATAGGAAGATACGTAAAAGATGATAGTTTCAGGAGAACTATAAGAGACAAATGTAATTCGTTTTTGTTCAATAACGATAACGATAACGATAATGATAATGATAATGATGATGATGATGAAAGCTTTGTGAAAATGGAGTTTTGTATGGAGAAAATTGACAAATTGATAGAAGATCATCAAAGAACAATGATGAAAAGCTTAAGAAACTCCATTGAGGTTTTAACCAAAATAGCTTCGTCTAAATCTTATCTTTCATCTTGTGCTGAACTTTACTTAGCAATATCTTATAAGTTACTCAAAAATGATAGAGTTTCTTCAAAGCATTTGCTTCAAGTGTTTTGTTATTCGCCGAATTCGGCTAGAACTTATCTTCTTTCCGACCTTTGGGAGCATTTGTTTCTTCCTCATGTTCTTCATCTCAAGATTTGGTATACTAGTGAATTCGAGTTTCTTTCGAATGAAGTTCATGTTGGCGAGAAGGAAAAGAAGATGAAACTTTTGAACAAAGTTTACAATGAGAAAATGGATGGTGGAACTTATCTTTTTGCTATGTATTATAAGCAATGGCTTAAAGTTAGTGGTGCTAGTGTGCCTCCTCTTCCTATTGTTCCTTTGCCATCAAGGCCGAGTTCTAGATCGTCGAGAAGAATGTCTTCCGATTCTACCCTTTCAAATTCTTCAATTAATCCAAACTTGTAAGTAATATCAACTTTTCTACTTTCGTGTTTCATAACGGAATTAGAAATTTAGACCAGATACATGTATTTTTTTATTTGGTTTTTCGCAACAGATACAAGGCGGTGTTTGGCCTCAAAGAAGAGAAGCAAAAACCTATTAGTCTTGGTGAGCAAACCGGAATTTCGACACTAAGCAAAGGATTAGAGATGGATAAAAAACTATATGGCGATGATTATAAATACAGTTCGGTTCAGGTTAGTTACAGATGCTAAAAATCTATTTAAATTGACTTATATGAACTTATACTAAATGTAGAATTAGATTTCAGAAGTTTAATTTTTTTCTTGTGACAGAAAGAAGACATGTTATCGTTTGGAAGATCATCGAACCGAATTGACAAGAATCAAGCTCAGAGATTGGATTATTTTAAGTGCTTATCTTGCAGGTTCATACCAACAGATAATAGTATGGCAAAAATCAGTTATATCAAATCTAAGAATGCTTCTTCAAGTGTTCTTTCAAGTGAGTTAGTTGAAGCCATTACAACTATATGTTCATCCAATAATTTAACCGAATGTGAATTCGCTATTCGCGTCGTTACCAAAGCTTGGTTGAACTCACCTGGTGATCCTCTTATAGAAGAAGCATTGACACAAACTAGTATAATTGAAGGTATCTTAGAGGTGTTATTTGTCTCGACCGAAGACGAAATTCTTGAGCTGATTATATCAATTTTAGCCGAATTAATTGCAAGAAACGACGCGATTAGACAAATCATTCTGAATTCTGATCCTCAACTTGAAATTTTTGTGAGGCTTTTAAAAAGTACTAGTCTTTTTCTTAAGGCTTCGGTGCTTCTTTATCTGTCGAAACCAATGGCGAAACAAATGATATCGTCGGAATGGGTGCCATTGATACTTAGAGTGTTGGAATTCGGCGATAAACTGCAGACGCTTTTCACAGTTCAATGTAGTCCTCAGGTCGCCGCGTTTTACATTTTGGATCAACTTTTGAACGGTTTCGATGAAGATAAGAACTTAGAGAATGCAAGACAAGTTCTTTCATTGGGTGGATTGACACTTTTAATGAAAAGAGTTCAAGAAGGAGAGATTCATGAGAGGGAGAATTCTGTTTCAATGATTTTATGTTGCGTTCGAGCCGAAGGAAGCTGTAGAACCTATTTGGCCGAAAATATTAACAAGAGTTCTTTGCTCGAACTCGTTGTTCTTGGAAGGAAACAAAGTTCAAGTCGCTACGCGTTGTCTTTGCTATTTGAATTGCTTTACCTTGATAGGTATGAAGTTCTTATTTTTATTCTGTCAATAAATATAACTGTCTGTTACTGACTATGATTTGTTGACAGTATTAAATTTTTTACACTGGCGTTGCATGAAAATCGAACTTTTTTTTTAATCTCGATATTATTTTGGAAAACGCAACAGAAGAACCAAGATTACGAATTTCTTGAGAGGACTTAAAGATGGATGGAGTGGATTAAGCACAATCCACATATTCTTCATTTACCTTCAAAAGGCTTCACCCGACGAAAAGCCTTTAGTTGCGGTGATACTACTGATGCTTGATCTTATGGTAATTTCACTCAACTTAAGTGATTATTTAATAAGTTCAAGAGTTCACTAATGCAATAGCAGATATGTTGCAGGAAGATAATCATGTCAAGGGGAGCATATATAGAGAAGAAGCTATTGATGCAATTGTAGCTTCCTTAAATTGTCAAATATGTGATGATAGAGTTCAACAACAATCAGCAAAAGCTCTACTTTTATTAGGAAGCCATTTCTCTTATGCAGGAGAATCACTTATGGAAAAGCTGCTTTTACAAAAAGCAGGTTTCCAAGAATTTTCCTTGCAAGATTCATTTCCTATTTACAAGGTAAGCTTTTACATTGCATTCGATTATTTTTCGGTGTTTGCGCAAAAAATAACTATGTATGTGTTTGATTATATAATAAGGAGGAAGAAGAAGCTGAAAGCTGGCACAAAAAAGCAGCTTATGGCTTATTCAAAAGTGGAAATAAGAAATTTCTATCTTCACTTGCAAATTGTGTAGACAATGGTATCCCTTGTTTGGCACGTGCAAGTCTTACAACTATTTCATGGATGAGTAGCTATCTCCACTTAGTTGAAGATTCAAAGTTTTCATCAATGGCTTTCTCAATCTTAATACCACATTTGCTTCAATCATTGAATTATGATAATGATGTTGAAGAAAGAGTTCTAGCTTCATATTCTTTGTTGCATCTTACAAAAAATTTAGGTATCGATTTTATTTCTCTCCTAACTATCTATCTGATCTCTATATAAAACAGATACATAAATACATCAGTTATTCAATAAATTTAAAAATATTTTTCTTCCTTTTTATAACAGGATGTATTTCTACCCTACCGTCGTTAAATAAAGATTCAATCACACATCTGAGAAATCTCTCTCTAGTGACATGGACTGCAAACGAGCTTATATCAATATTCACAAAGAAAAACATCTAATAAGTCAATTTCATAATCAACGGTGAATTTGTCAAAACATCTGTGATTCAGCGTGATATTGACAATTTCACCGTCAATTCAGGCATGCACTTTTTCTTATTAGTATTATCTTTCATTTCACATAAGAGTGATTGTAACCACATTCCTTGAGTTTTGTATAGTTAATGAGTTATTTAAAGAAACCTAATATTTGTTTTATTCATAGTAGTAGCTTATGATTTCAATATGTGAAAATTTGAAAAGTGTGTTTAGCCAAAAAAGAAATGATTACAAAAATGGAAGTTTCAAAACAAGAGAAGAGTGCTAGGACATGCCTAACATAGATTCATCTGGACCTCAGTGTCATATTTGTCCTAGAATACAAAATGTGTACTAATGTTACACCTGTTTCTGTGTTTGCACTCTCTCACATGGGTAACAGAAAAAATAATTGGACTAAGAGGGAAACTTTTTATTTATATTTTATTTATCTACACATGTATAGCAACTTATCTCTTGTTCATGTGCAACTGTTTGTTATAGATTGTGACAGTGTGAACATTCAGAAACAGAATCTCTTGGATTAAAAAACCTTCATCTTTTGGAAGAAAAAAAAGTAGACATAAAAAATAATTTTGTAGTTATGATGTGGTCTTCTTGATTTGTTTGAGTTGGAAATTTTATAACAAATGACAGAATAGAGACATAGCTAAAACCATTTAGAAAAATTAAAATTTTCAAAACTCAAATTATAGGTAGAATCTTGAATTTAAAAATTAATTGTTCAGCAAAAATCCTAAATTACAGTTTCGAATTACAAAGGCTGCAAATCTAAAAATTAGTTGTACAGCAAAAACCCCAATGCTTGTAAATCTTCATCTAACTACAACAAAACAAAACAGATCCATCAAATAAAGTTTGTATAAAATTGAAGAAGTGGATGTTCATCGCTTAATAATTTAGAGATGTGACCGGCGGCAAAATATTGAAGCTCTTTAGCTTCCTTCAAAAGCCAATCATTTTTCAAGTTTCTCTTCTTTGAGCTAGGGTTTCTCTTCATCTTCTGTTATTCTCCTTGTCGTATTTTAACTTTGTCAAACAAAATGAAATGACACTAAAAAAAAGTTTCAACGCAGTTCAAAAGTTGTAACACAAAAACAACTAAGTTTAAAATATTCAAAAAAGGCAAGGTAGATCAAATAACACAATACCACCTAGGATAACACATATGCCAAATTTAGTTTCCCACAATATTTAACGGAAAAGAACAAATTGGTTAACGAAACTGTTGTTAAGAGACCAACACGTAACATTTATTAAATAAGAGATTAAAGTAAAACTTTAAATTAAGTTAAGGGACCAAAAGATATATTAAGAAAAAAAAAACTATAATGTAATTTGACAACAAATAATAAGACTATGAAATTATTACAATACATTGATTATCTTCAACCACTCTATAGCCTCCATTACACCAACATTCTCCAAACTAAATATCTAATTACATCTAAAAACATCTAAATACAAACTTAAAGTGTTTTTAACCTATCATTTTGTAATGAAGAACTAGAGTTCATTATATAGCATTGATCCCCATCTTCCTTTACAAAACAAAGTAATGTGAGATTTTTTTAACCAACACCAATAGAATTGTCGTTGACACTCACCAAATAAAAAGGACATGTCACCTGACCTCTATTATTCAGAATACTTTTAACACAAATACGATCCTTTTAGTAACTAACGATTTTAATACCATCGGTGAATCATAAGAGACATTACTACGGTAAACACATATAATGACAGTTGTGAAACAGATATAATGACGGTTTCACGTCTGTTGTTAGGTAGTGTGTGATTGTATGTATGTTGGTTTCCATAAGGGATAGTGATTATGGTTATAAGTTAGGTAGCGCGCTACTTATAACAACGGTTAAGTCAAATAACCGTTGTGAAATAATTTATAGGTGTTGGGTTTGATGCCCAGCTGCAACCAAATTAAAGCACATTAAAAATAAAATTTCACCACGGTTATATATTCCAACTGTGATGGTATGTCTAAGAGTTTATTATAAAATATGAGATTACTTGTTTTTCTCTGCCCCTCATTAACCATATACAATGATCATTCAAACATATTTTTGAGATGATAAATGAAAATTTTAAATTATTCTTGAAAAACAACTTAAACGGTTTAATGTTTATGAAATTGCATACATCTTGTAATTCATAATTTCCTTATTAACCTCTATAATTTAATTCAGTCTCAAATTATTCAAAGTAAAGATAATGAATTGATGTCCTCTAAGTCTTTCACACAAAATATGATTTCCTCTTTTTTTTTTCTTCTAGTTTATGCAAACATCAAATTTTGTGTGAAAGACTTAGACTGACATCCATTTATCATTATTATTTTAGAGAATTTGTGGCATTGAATCAATTCCACAAGCTAAAAAGGAAATCGTGAATTACAAGATGCATGTAATTTGATAAACGTTGGATCCTCTAAGTTGTCTTATAAGAATAACTTAATTTTTCTAATTATCATCCGAAAAATCTATTTAAATGAATACAAGTTCAATAAGGGATTAGTGAAACAAGAAATCACATATGATATAATAAACTCCCTAACAACATTTATCAATAAAAATATCAATTAATTAACATAGATTAGGAGAACTTGATAACTAATTGTTCCTAGAAGCTATGAAGAGGATAAAGTATAAGGGAGAGTAGAAAATATGTGTTCACTATGGGAATATTATATGAAAGACTCATATAATATTTCCATAACAAACACAAGTTCCCTCTTAGATCCATATTTACACAATCAGCTAGATCAGTGATAAGTAAAGAACCATAACCACTTGATAGCTACAACATCAACAACATGCAACAATATTTCTCAACAACATTTAATTGAAAAAAATTGTGGAAGACAGCATGAAGAAAACACCATGTTAACATAAACTAGTATTACATTGTAATCCAATTCAACAAAAGGTTAACAAAAACTAGCATGTTAACATATACATTGTAATCCAATCCAACAAAATGTTAACAAAAACTAGCATGTTAACATAACAGTACATTATAATTCAAGAAAAATTTATCAACCTACAAGGCTAACATGTGATCCATAAAAGGTTAACTAGCAATAAATTATAAACCAAAAAAATTAAATCAACAACATGTGGAACATAACAAGGTTTTTAGTCTTCATGCTTAGTTAAATCCGTACAGTTCTCAAGGTCTTCATTGTCAAAGTCTTCATCTGATTCAGAATAAGTTGCATCTAGATTCATTAGGTCTTTCACAATAGCCTATACCTTCCTTATCTATTCAGGGTTAAGATTTTTGAAAAGAATCTTCTTATAGTCCGTTCCACCAGAAAGTTCAACAAAAATATGTGATCACTAACCGATTCAACTTCCTTAACTTTGTTCAACCATAAATCCATCATATCAATAACCTCCTTTGAAGATTCAATCTCGTCAGAACCGACATTGTGGCCCGACATTGTGGCCGTACAACATGAGCCACAACACATGCCTCACTTTTTCTGAGCCCTCCAAAACATATAAGCTAATAATATAATCTACTATACTAATTAACAAATTTATTAATATCTGTTGCTATTGAGAAACTGTGTCATTGCACAAAGTTGTATGTTCCAAACTAGGTTTACATTAATATTTATATAAAATTTTCTCTGCAATGTTCACCAATTTACGATGTGAGACATATATATTTTTATATTAACAAACCTTATATTAGTACTACTATATGGTATTTTTAGGTAAAAGAAAATTAATTTTAAAGTATTTTCTAGTGTCAAACATCAAAATAACTATTCTATATATTTGTTTATTTTATATAGTATTATTTTATGTAATTGCTTAAAAAAAGACAGTAAATTTTATGCAAGTGCAATGGTTTCAAATTATACTATCTAAATTCTTCATTATTGAATTGTATTTTTTTATTGTTACATTTGTAGCACTTTCCTTCGTACTGGCTATTTTAAATTTTCTTATGTTGTTTCATTGATTTATCATTTTATTTAATATAAATAGAAAAATAAAAAATAAAACCTAATATAATACAAAATTTGGTTTCTTTTTGGTTGACATATGAAAAATAAGACATTGTAAAGTATAAATTTAGTAAATTCACTTGAGTTGAAATAAAGAGAAACAAATGAAAAACAATGGCAACGGAGATACATAAATACATGGAATAAATTATGCTACCTACCTATCTCCGATATACATGTTCTTTTTTCTCATACATTTCTAAATTCAAATATAACTAAAAATAATTTAAAAAACATGTTAAAACAATTTTAGTCTTTTGTATAAACACATTTTTTTTTTTTACAAATATGTGTATAAAATGAGGCTCATTAAACTCTTTAATAAAATTATATGATTAAAGTAAATGTTAAATAAATAGAGAAAAACACATTAATTTTAATAATTAAGAGCAAGGTGTAGACAAAATGAAGGTTTTAAAAAAAGTATTTTTATTAATTACTAGTTCAATTTTAAAATTTGTACTGGGTCTTTTAACTGTTTGGGCCGGCCCTGAATCTCGTAGATAAGTTTGCTCATATTATTCATATTGTGAGAAGGATTTAAAATCTGAACAACAAGAGAAACCTTGTTTTAAAACAGCATACAACAACGACAATAACATACAACAACAACTAAAAAACATAAACTCTCGAAGAAGAAGAAAATCATGTAAAACATAACAACAACATATACGAAAACGAGAGAATAAGGAAGAAGAAGAATACATTTATGTATCAAGAAAAAGATTGAGGCTCTTCTGTAGAATAAGAAAACTAACGACGAAGAAGAGAGAAAAATGTGTGCTAAGATATTATCAATATGCAAGAGTTAATTCGTTTATATATGGATAAACAATTTCACATTAGTCGTATTCAAAAATCATAATGAAATGTAATTCTTTTCACAACGGTTAATATTAAAAAGAACACTCAGAGTTAATTAGTT